AGTAGTAGTAGTAGTAGTAGTAGTAGTAGTAGTAGTAGTAGTAGTAGCGGTAGTGCTAGGAGTAGCAATAGCAGCAGGAGGAGGAGTAGTAGTAGTGGTAGTGGTAGCAGTGGCAGTAGGAGTAGGAGGAGTAGTAGTAGGAGGAGTAGTAGTAGTAGTAGTAGTAGCCGTGGTAGTGGTAGTGGTAGTACTAGCAGTACTGTTGTGAGCTTCTCAAGTGATTTGCCCTATATAGTTGTTGTATTAAACGAAATCTGTAAACCCTGAACTCTACACATTTTCTTGACAATTTATAGTAAGCCAGTTGGAAGCAACAATCATAGGAGAACTGGCAGGCCGGCCTATTGATAAGAAGCATCAGAAAGGCTAAGCTATCAATCTGCAAAGGCACTAGCAAAGGCTGATTGGTGAGCTCAAAAAGAGATAAGTTGCAGCAAAAGCAAATACTATATGGAATCTTAGTTGTTGTAAAGTTATAACTAACTTACCCTAGAAGAAGTGAGTTATATCTTAGTTATAACTCGAAGTTATAACTAAGTTATTTCCTATTTATAAGTTCCATAAGTAGTTCATAACTTACTTATAACTAAGAACTAACTACCTTCTTTTTCCCTAAAACAGACGCTTCTTTTTTCCGCGCGCGAACGGGGAGGTCTCAGCCAAACGCTACAGCCGACGCGTGCGCTTCAGTGTATACAGTCGATACTTTGATCGATCTGTCGCCACCAGCTCGCCGGTAGCCATCGAGTCGGTTGGTCCACTCGATGCCAGGTCACCTCGTCTGTCAGACGCCACGTCGAGCCCCACTTGGTGGATCCAGAGAACCGCAGGCGGTTGGAGCAGCTCAAAAGGATTGCTGAAATGAGTTTCTCGCCAGCGGGTGGCCGACACAGGGCCGACGCAAGGCCGACATCACGAAATGCAACCCTGGGGCGTGTGGTATATATACATGTATTGGGGCCGACATATGGCCGACACGGCGACGGCGACGGCGTTCTGACGTGGGGCCGACACGCGGCCGACAACCGAAAAAACTTATATGTACGGAATGTCGTCATATGGATACAAACATATACATACACATATATATATATATACAAACAAAAGGGATATAGATATAAGGCGAATCTATACATGTTTCCGCCCCGCCCTGCTATCGAAGCGCGTGTAGTCCTGCTGCTGCCTTCGTGTCTTCGCCATGGACTCCGTCACAGCCGACATGCCTCAAACTATATATCTCCTGCACACTTGATCCAAAAACTGCACAATGTTTTTTGGTGAAACTCTGTTTTGTAACTATGAATAAGTCGAAATAACTTTGTATAACTAAGACCTAACTAAGTTATAACTTCCATCTAACTCCACCCGGTTTAGTTATAAATTACTTACATCTAACTTGTTCTAGCCTTACTAAGTTATAACTCTATGTTAAATTCCTTATGTATAACTATAGTTATACACACTTATCCTAATACAAGTTCTGTTATCGAAATACAACTTTACTTGTAGTTCCCTAACTAGAGTTATAACTTACTTATGACTAAAATTCCATATAGTATAGGGATGGCAGCACGACTCCGTTGATTGTTGCTTGGATTAGCTGGGGGGCTTCAAACGCCCACGTGCTTGGTAATGGAAGAGATTGACCTCCACTCCAGATTGAATAGTTGTGTTTGCGTCTCCCACAACAAAATCAATGCCGCATCGCTCTCCCAAAAAACATGCGGCTTCACATGTCTTCACACTCCCAGACCCGGTAACTTTGCTTGACTTCCGCCATGGAGCGGCTTCGCAACCATAGTTGGCTCCAATGAGGTCAACAAACTTGGAAACCAGCAGCATGCCTTCCCTTGGCTGCTGATAAAAACATCAACCGGCCCACAGGGGGCCCATGACTTAAAAGACTGCGCAGTTCAAAAGGCCTGCTCCAAGTCATACTACAAGTCTGACACAATGCTCCCAATATAGGCAAACATGTGTGCAATTATCAGTAATGAGACTATATATCACTGTTTGGTTGACCTGGCCAGATTTGGATTAACGCCACAAAACAACTGCAGTTCAAACATGAACGGCGTTGATGCAAACTCATAATATCCAAGATGCCATTCACGTTTCCTCGCGCAGGAAGGCCACGACGAATCGAGCGTGCCCTACGCACGGGCACCAGGTGCAAAAAACAAGATGTTTCACATGTCCTAAGCGCTATGATTTACCTGCTTTACCCCCTTGGCCAAACACAGGAAGTGTTGCTCAGCGAGAAGTACTAAGTACTTCCACACCCGGATCCCTGGATTCTCTACTCTGCAAACGCCAACATGAGTAAAACAAATTCACAAGCAAGTGACTAGGTGGTGCCCAGGTTGCTCACTATAGACTATAGGCAAGTCTCAAACCAGAAAGACTGACTGGCCTCTGCAGGCCTCGCTCCAGTACACAGGTGATCTGCGATTTCTTCAGCCGTCGCAGCACTGGGCATGAACGCCAAAAGTCCAAACTCTTGATCACCTGGGTGGGTGTCAGGTGGTAACACATCAGCGTAGCGTACATCAGAAGTTGAAACCGAATCGACAGTCAAAACGGGTCAGAACCAAGACATGTCAATACAATAATGTGTTACATAGATAGGGGCAGTGGTTAGCGCATTTCTTCAAGCGCCTTTGTTTGCTGCTTGCTCGAGCGTTGCTCTCACAATTGTTATGTGTTGATATGCGTTGTCAAATGTTATTGTTCTGTCCACATGCAATCATCCATGAACCAACAATTGTTTTCCTGTCAATGTGTCCAGAGTTTGTTTTGAACGTGCTCACCTTGCACCGAACTTTTTGTAAGGCCAGTTATTTGCGAGATCGTTTTATCAAACAAATCGATCAAAATCGCACGAACACTGCGTTTTCAGATATGTGGGCGTATGTTGCATGCTGGTTGCTTTTGGTTGGGGTGCTACATCCTGGTGCTCCCTTGCTAGTCATGTAATGTATTGGATCAAGAGCAGGTTGATCCGTCACGCACAGAAGATCGAATGCGTGACATGCCGGAACAAGGTTCACGTGGCTTTTGCAATCTGATGATGCGCCTGTGAACCCTTAGGGGAAAAACATTCTCAGTTTGGCTGAAGCTTGTAAAATGGGGCCAGTGGACTTTAAAAATTGCGCGGCGCATCTGAAAACCACAGTTGGTGAGCACATCTGAGCTGGAAGACATAAGAAGCAAACCAAATTCTGCTGCCAAAGATGCGTTGGTTGCTCAAGCCCCTAGTTTCCGTCATGATAACGTGTTTTCATATCTCCTCTCTCACCCTCTCTACCTGCTCCAAGTCTACCGGGTCTAAACATCCAGCCGGGCCTTCCAAACGGCTCAGCAGCAACTGCAGTATATGATTGTTTTCATTCCCCAAACAGTGTGGGCACACTGAGGGGTTCTTACGGTAGTAGAAAAGCAGCTGGTGTTTAGATCGCTGAAGCGCGCGGGCGTGAACGGCTAGTTCGCTGCTATTTACAGTGCATTCATGCCTCTCGACATCGTCCATGTGCACTTCGACTGCGCAGGCTCGCAAAATCTGCCTGCCGGCGGCGGGTGCTTCAGGCGACTGCGCTCTCGTTGTGGCGCCGTGCGCATTTCGGTACATGGTGGTGATCGTCGAGGAGCTCAGATTTCGTGACAGGTGCAGTGAATCGGGACTTTGGACATGTGGCTCGTTCGCAAATTTCGTGGCAGGCACAGCACTCTGTGACCCTCGATGCACAGATTTCGTGGCAGGTGCAGCACTTGGAGAACCTCAAAGTGTAGATTTCGTGACAGGTACAGCACTTTGTGAACCTCGAAGTGCAGATTTCGTGGCAGACGCAGCACTTGGTGAACCTCGAAGTGCAGATTTCGTAACAGGTACAGCACTTTGTG